ATATATATATATATATATATATATATATATATATATATATATATATATATATATTGTGATGTCCATGGATCTATGCAATGAGAATCGGATCATGATAAGATCACGATAATGTGACCGATTTGCTTTTAAACATAGATTCTAAACAATCCCGGTCATAAGTTACTTGAGAGAGACATCGAGATAACCGGATAGACTGGTGTACTATACACTTATACATGTGATGGAGGCAGCTGGTCTCATTGCTGCTCATGTGGGGACAATAGGGCTACAGTGCATATGCTCATTAGAAAATGAGTTCACTGATTGTTCATCTCAATTGAAGAATGAGTTTATTGATTGTTCTGTTCACAAAATTATGGATGGTTAATGATAACCTCATTATCAGACAATGATTTCGTTATCTCAGTTGTGTATCTGGTCATTAGACTTAAGGTACCAAGGATGTCTTGTATGAGTACTCCACTCTTTGATACCGGACTTACAGGCCTGAAAGTTTCAGATCTAACACAACCGGTCAATAGGAGTGGTAGCCAACTTTATGAGGGCTATTGAGTGTCGATAGAGAATCATCCACTCTCGGTGTCATGAGAGGAATATCATATGTGTTCTTGCTCAGGAAAATCCCTAGCCATGATCATTCGGATTGAGAGAGAGAAAGAGTTCTTTGAGAGAATTCGATTAGAGCGAGACTCGAATAGAAACTGTATCGACATGATAGTACCATGCACGGTATATGGTCTCTGGGGTATCAGATAGATGAGGAACTATAGGTACACAGTATTTAAGGATAAACATATCTAATAGATTTGATTCTCCTATATCGTTTGGGGACTGCGGCGTAGTGGCATAGTACGTCCGCAGTCGATGAGTCGAGTGAATTATTATGGAGATAATAATTTATTATGCTAGAAGGAGTTCTGATAGGTATGACTCACAACCAGCTCGAAATTAGGCCTAAAGGGTCACATATATATATAGTAGGCATTACGACGAGTAGAGGTTCAAATATGAGATATCTATCGGACCCCCTATCTTATTGGATATCTAATAAGCTCTTGAATTATTGGATATTATGGATGAGATCCAATAAAAGCCAATAAAAGATTATTGGATAGAGATCAACTAATCTAAGAGGCTTGGATAGTTGGATGAAGATTCAATACCCAATAGGGCATGATCCATTAGGGTTAAGCTGATAGGAGGCCTCTTTAAATATA